CATGTAAACCCATGCTGACTGACTGTTTCTAATCACCTTCTTCTCCCCCAAGTGCTTAGAAATGGATTCCTTGAGGATCTGCTCCATGATTTTTCCAGGGACTGAGGTGAGGCTGACTGGTTTGCAGTTCCGTGGAACCTCCTTTTTCCCTTTCTTAATGATGAGTGCTACATTTTCCCTTTTCCAATCATCCAGGACCTCACCCAATGTCCACAGATTTTTCAAAGATTTTCTACAGTCACATCAGCCACCTCCCTCAACACCCTCGGGTGCATTGCATCGAGCCCCATGGATGCATCCAGCTTTCTTTTTCTAAACAGTCCCTAACCCAGGTTTGGGCAAAATACAGCCCACTAACAGGCAGGACTGCTTTCACTCAACAACATCAGCTCTTGATGTGGCGGCATCAGCTGTTGACCTTGGCAGAGCTTCCAGTGCCGGAGGCGGGTGGTGGGATCAGTTGTGACACTGCCGGCAGGTTCTACGTCAGGGCCCCGAAACCTGCTGGCTGCACCTACAGCTAAAACTGCTGTTCACCTGCTGCGATGGAGGTCTCTGTCTGGGTCTACAGCTGAGCTTTGGGACTCTTGGTGAACTACAGCTTTGGCTGGGTTCTGGGGTTAGGGAGAAGAATGGAGGGGAGGGGCATATGGTCCTTGACAGGTTCCCAAAACTCATTAAGTGGCTCTCCAGCTGAAATAATTGCGCCCCCCTGCCCTAACCTGTTCTTTCACCACTGTCGAATTGACGAATGTGGGGCTCCCCCTCCCCTGGCACTAGCTGTGGCTCACGAGTCTCTGATCCCCAGCATGGATAGGGGCAACCCACCAGTTACCTGCTACTTCAGGTAGACAGCCTGAGCAGCTGCTGGTGGTGAGGGGGAGAGGTGCTGTGTGGCTGCACAGTGCTGGTTGGTGGAGGCCAGGCGGGTGCTGCACAGGGGCTGCTCCCAGCTGGGTCCAGCCTCTGCACACAGGGAATGGAATCTGGCTGCAGACCTCTATGCTGACCTGCCCTGCCATCAGGGCTCTTGGAGTGCGCACGCACACACCCTGATCCCCTGGCTCCCAGGAGCCTTGATGGCAGGGTGGGATAGGACAGGAGCATGGAGGCCCGCAGCCAAGCTCCTTCCCTTGTGGGCAGAGGCTGGAGGAGCCATGCTCAGGCTCCAGCTCTGACCTCTGCTGGCACCATTGGGGATGTTTAGTGGAAGCAGCCCTGCCCACCTGCCTGGCTTCACTGGTATTGGATGAGCACGGCTACTTTTACCCTGCATCCCCCACAGTGCTTGAGAGAAGGAGTCTGGTCTTGCAGGCCCTAGGTGCCTCCTGCCAGCAGAAGCCTGGGTCCATGCATGGCACATCCAGGGTATGCAGGCGGGTGGCAGCACCACACAGCATGTGGGCTGGATAAAAATCAGTTGGCAGGCTGGATCTTGCCCACCCTTGGCTTGGCTTAGCTTGTTTAGTGTAATAAAATGGAGTTTGAGATGGGACATGATCACTCTATTAAAGGATATACATGGGGTGAATTTTTGGGAGAGTGAAGAATGTTCTAGGCTGAAAAACAGCATGGGCACAAGGTCAAATGAATAGAAATTGATTATGATAAATTTAGATTGGAAATTAGAAAAAGATTTCTAATGATCAGACATCTATATTACACACTCTCTCTCTCTCTCTCTAGTAGGGGCAAGGAACCTGAATCTCTTTTAACATTGAACTGGATACATTTATGGAAGGGATGGTATGATAGGACAAGGTGTTCTGACACACCATTTGTTTTTATGATGTAGAATCATATAATTGCCGTCTCCAGGTTAGGTTAACAAGGTAGCAGTGTAGTGTGGGGGAGACTGGTAATCCCAGATTTCAGGGCTTTTCTGGTTGCCAAGAAGTGTCAGGAAGGAATTTTTTTCTTCTCGTAAAAACTACTGGTTTCTGCAAGTTTTGTTTTTTGGGTGTTTGGTTTTTTTCCCAACCTTCCTCTCAAGCCTTGTGATGTTGGCCGTAGCTAGGGCTGGTGACTTTTTTAAATGAGATGTCTTGGTGTTTTGTTTCTGCCAGGACTGGAAACTCAGAGGTTCCTGGCTAGATGGTCTCACTCTTTCACTTATGGTCATACTGACAATGGAATTTTGTGTTGCAAAGGAAATTTTACTCTGTTGGATTGGTACATAGGGGGTCTTCCTCTGTAGTATGAGGCGCCATGGTCCTTTTTCTCAGATCTTCTAGCATATATTAACTGTCTACTTCCTTATGTGGTTGTAGGGCATTTATAGTGCTTTTATCTATCTCAGATTTTAGGGTGATCTTGGTGGTGTTATTCCTTTTTGTTTCAGGGGAGGGCTTGAAGTGACAGATTCCTTAGGTTAATGATATCCTGTGGAAGTGGGGGACTAGACTTAGTGGCCCAAGAGGCCTGTTACAATCTAATGTTCACATGAGTCCCTTCTCCAAAAAATTGGTAGGGAGAGAATCTTTTTACTTTAAAGAACTCTTTTCACTAGGTCAGGGGTTGTCAACCAGGGATACACATACCTCTGTGGGTACTTAGGAAGGCCCTAAGGAGTACATGCAGGTGGGCAGGGATGGAGCGCCACCACCCCGTATTGCTGCCTCCCGTGGAGGGGTGGGGTGGAGGTGTCCCTCTGTGGGCTGCGTAGGTCCAGCCGTGTGCCACCTGCCCTCATCCTCCCTCCTCCCCATCCCCACCCCCAGCTCTGCATTCAGCTGCTGGGGGTACACTTATTAAAAAAGGTTGAAAACCCCTGCACTAGGGGATTCAAAAAAAGAAGAAAAAGCCTATAAGAATTGTCTTTCAAACTTAAGTTAATTGTATAAATATTGTATGCGATTCCCAGATGCAAATTTTGGAATTTGGATCTATCCTTCAGACTTAAGAAATGTGTGAAAGTTCCTGTCTGGACTTTTAATTTAATCCATTATGGAGATAATGATGATTTGCAAAATAAGCTGAGGTCCTGTTTGGGATCCTGTCTAAACATTGCACATGGAAATTTGCAGTCTGGTGGTTGTGAAAATCCCAGAGCTCACTTAATAGAAATTGCCTTCCTATTACTAGATAAGTTATTTTTGTGAGATAGAAAGGGATCTTCTACATGTTGTCAGGTTAAGCTACATTAGAGTGAGCTGTCGCTATGGTGGTCCAGGAATTATGCAAGAGGCAAGGATTTCTTAGGGTATCTTTTATCGAACCAGTTGCACAGCTGAGATGGACAAGCTTTTAAATACAAGATATTAATGTTCGGGTCTGAGGATAAGGCATACCATTGTATGTATGGGTTACTGGTAGAAAGCTACTGTGGAATCCTACAGTAATGGTCAAAAGTACTACTTCCTACACGTGTTAAAGGTTGTCTACACTGTGCTGAATTTTAGAGAGGTTTGGGATCTATTTGGCTTACAGCCAAATCCTGTCTCTTATATGAGCCAGTCTAATCATTGCAAATAAGTATGGGGTTTCTTTGAATTTATCCTCCTGTTTCGAAGCCACACAAAATTGCCCAATCTTGTGCTCTTTGAATAAGTTCTAAAGTTACAGTTGTTTAAGATAATAGAAAAACACTTGAAAGAGATCCACTCAGGAAGCAAATCCTATGACTGAAATGGAGAACTCTGCAGACCTGGCTGACAGCATAATGAAAATAATTGTATAAAATCTAGAGGATGTGGAAATAAGCATAGTCACATATTACTAAATACTGAATTTCCTAGCATGCTTTACTTCTGTAAGAGAATGACAGGATCCTTTGATACATTATTTTAAATGAGAGATTCATTTGCGTGATAGTATAATTTTGTGAAAACCATAGCTAAAAGAAAGACAAACTGGGAGTTAAATAACATGCCACTTCCATCCGTTTCATTTTGTGGTGGCAATACTTCAGAAAAATGCTGTTGTCTATTAAAAATTCAATAAATAATCATTTAAATTAATACTATATGGTGAAAATTGTAACAGTGGTATTAGAATTCTAGTGTAATGGTGCATCTGCATTTGAATTCTTTCTTCACTGACATGGAATGGGAATTGTTCTTGGGGATCATCTTTGCCTGTCTGCTCCTTTCAGAATGTCTAAAATTAATTATGGAAATTAGATTCAGAAGAAAGTGAGAACTTTGTAAATGTTCAAGGTGTTGAAACAATTTTATTGTAAGCAGACAGTGAGAAAACTTTATATTTCTTTACATATTAAAATGACACTGAAAATCTGTATTTATTATTATGAAACCAGTAAAAAGTTAATATGTATACATTTATTTTAAATAAATAGCTATATGGAATATTGCAAATACTCTGAGGCAGTCATTAGGTTTTTGGGCTTGAACAGTGTGAAGTGTTAAGCTCTTGCAACAAATCTTCTGACACAACTTCCAAAATGAAAGCTCAGCTGAAATATGTGCTATATGAGTAGCATTGCCCAGGGTTAGAACATGCGACTGGGAATTAAAAAAAACAAAACAAAAAAAAAAGGCATGGCTTCGATTTCTTTCACTGATTTTTATATATTATGACTGTGAGCATGTCCCTTTTAATCTTTTAGTGATTCAGTTTTCCTGTCCATGGAGTAAGGCTAATTTGCTACTGATTATTTGTGCTGAAAACTGCTATGTAAAGTTTCTTGTCACTTTTATTTTGGTGCATATTACTTCATTTCTTACATTAATAAAATATTTATTATAAAAATTGTAATAGATTTTCCCCCATGATTGTAGGTGGCTCTAAAGGATATGTCAATTCTAAGAGAACAACTGAGAGGAGGAAAAAAAGCTATAAATGAGTCTTCTGATATGTCAGTTTTTTATTCCTCCCTCTTTCATGAGTACAAATTTTAATGCAACAAGAGTGACGTGTTGGGTGTTCTCATGGATTCATTGCTGGTCTTCCCATCGGCCATTTACCATGTCAATAACATCTGGTTTCCTTGATGCCAGCAGTAAATGCTTTTGGATAAATACTTTCCATGTATTTTTTAGGTCCCAAATCTAATCCCAGTTTTGATGTTTAAACTGGGAAGGCCACTGGAGCCTGTGCTGTATCGCGATATTTTGTATGCTTTGCCTACTCTGGGTGTGCATAAGGTCAGTATGAAGAGAAATTCAACTTCCTTTGAAATATTTTTTAATGAAACAAGTGTACCTGTAACTAGTAGTTAAATTGCATGCAATAGCAGATGCAGAAATATATATATATAAATATAACTTGCTCATAATTTTAAATTATTTGTAAGTGTCTACATAGCATGTTAATATTTATGATTGGATCTGACATTTGTTTTAAAGGATGAAGTATGCCTTGTGCTTCAGCTGTCAACATTATATCATTATTGTATCTATATGGACATTTTCATTGGATTTTAAAATCAGTATGAACTTACAATTTATCAGAAAATGACTCTGTTTCTTCCTGACACTGCAGTAGGCTTAATTATTTACTTCTGGTATTCACGGCAAGTGAAGATTTATAGACACCTTCTTGTTCAAGGATATTAACATAACCATGTCCTAAAAAATCTCTTTCAGATTTGTGTAGCTCAAATTCTACGTGTAATACAGGTTCTGGGGAACACACCAAAGCTTAGAGCTGTTTCTTTACGCCTGATGACATCTTTATGGGAGAGACAGGTTAGAAAAATTGTGCAGTATAAGATAAATTGCTATAGAAACTATTTTAACATGCTGCTTCTACCTAGAGAAGGCTTTTGATAATTGTTTATGCTAGGGCCTGATTGTTAGCGGTGGAAAGCAAGTGGTGTCAGTGATACACTTATTAATTCTCATGTACTGAACAACTTCTAAAGTTGGCCTTTCATGGAACCTATTATGCATCACATTGAGCCTTGGAATAAAATTATGAAATAATTTTGTGTGTAAAAGACATCATTTTGCTTTTTGCATAATGCACCAAAAGTACCAGAGATGAGTGATAAGTCATTTACATTTGGTTATGTCGTAGTAGCTTGCTGCTTAGTTTACGGGAAAAAGCCAAACAATGTGGATTCTGTTCACAGAAGCCACTTACATCCCATCACAGCATTCATCTCCACTGCTGAAGAAAAATATACTATGATTTGCAATGTAAATATTCATTTAGGAAGCTGTGCACAGGTTTTAGCAGCATACAATCCTGTCACTAATGTACAGAAAATTAATTACATATTATTTTAAAAGTCAGTTTTTTCCTAGGATCGGGTTTACCCAGAACTGCAGCGGTTTATGGCAATGTCTGACATGCCCTCTTTGTCTGTTGGCAAGGATATTCAGTGGGAAAAGCTAATTGCTAAAGCTGCGTCTATCAGAGATATATGTAGACAGAGGTAAGAAGAAGAGTTAATTACCCAACATTTTGTTATCCAGCCTGTTTCAGTGCAGAGATGGTGCATGATGTTTAAAGGAAAGTTATGCTAATAGCTTTTAAGTAGCCTGTTGTTATAATTGTGGGATATGTACTTTTTCATAGCTGTAATAGATGCAATATCTTGGTAACTGGTAAGTGTAATACACATTGCATGCATTTTGTTCTGAACAAAGTAGAAATATGAAAAAGACAAATGGTAAGAACATATACATTGATTTTTTTTTTTAAAGCGATGCTTCAAAACAAACTTGAGAAGGAATTTTAATTCCTCAGGATCTTTTTTAAAAGAATTTTGTAATTTTGGCTCATTTTCCAAAATGTACTTGGTGTTTATTATGAAGTAAGAACTAGATTACTGATTCCACTGTTTTGTCCTGCATTCACATGCTGATGTGGAACCACTGTTTAAAGGGATTTTGGTGTATGTAAAGAACAATGTACCCAACTGACATGTTGAGGGCTTGTCTGCATCATCTTGGTATTGTGTCACGGCTGCTGCAAAAAGGCACACATCATCCCTTCTTTATGTATTGTCTGTGCAGCTGCTTTGTTGGCTAGGGACAGAGGTTACACATAAACCAGTTTAAATGATCAGAAACTTGTTTGAACCTGTAACAGGACATAAATTCAATGCATTTAAACAAGTTTCAAAATGGCTGAAACTGGTTTAAGATAACCTGGTTGAATGTAGTATCACACTTAACTGATTTATGTCAAATCAGTTTATGACATTTCTGTCCCAGACCCCTTCCTGGTTTAAGTTAAACCAATGTCCCCCAACATCTCAGCATGCTTTCCAGCCCTGGGCTGAGTTGTGGTATCTGCTCCAGAGAGCAGAGTTGGCCCCACTGTCTTTAGCCTGAGCAGGGGCAGGGATTTGGCCGGACTAGAGATGTAAAATTTCCAGAAATTTTGAAGCCGTGGGGAAAAAAAAAGGTTTTTTTCCTGTTTTTTTTGGGGAAAAAATTGAATTTTTGGGAAAATTTAAATATATGCAATATTTATTTTCTTAGGACCCTTTACAGATCTAAATTCACTTTGCTACTTTAAGAACATAAAATATATTATGTATAACTTGGTTTGCTCATAAAATTATCATGTTTGGTATATTTATTAAATTTAAAAGTATAGATCATTCAGACAATTACACATTTACTAATTAAATTTACTGTAAAATGTTTTTAATTTTTGTTACAACATTTTTGTTACATCTGCTGAACTGTAAGGAACCTAGGATCGCTTAGTTTTTGCCAGTTTATAAGAAGCAGGCAAAAATTAAAGCTGAAATTAGAAGGCACCATCAACATTATAGTAAAACAAAGGAAGTTATTATGTATTCTGGACTTAGTCTCCTCCACAGTGTCAAACAGATACAGAAAGCACTCATTTTTAGAAAAAGGGCTGAGGAAAAAAAAAGGAAAAAACCCCCAAGAATCATTTAATAAAAGTTTTGCTACATTAAACTTCTTCTAATCAGTCTCATTTTCTGAGCTATCAGTGTCAGCAGTTTCTGCTTCTTCTGATCCTTCATTTTCATCATCTTCATGGACTTCCGAAAACTGACCGTTTGTCTGGGCTGAGACAAGCTTCTCTGCTCTGCACATGTTAGTTTATTTCTTGATTTGGTGTATTTCCAAACATAGATCAGTTTCTTTCACATGCTGCAGAAGATGGAGGAATCTGAAGCAGGTGAGAACCAAGAGGAGTCAGAGGCTGTGTTGTGCAAAGGCCTTGCCACCATGTTGCAGGAGGGATGTGCTTGGCAGAGTCCCAGACTGCATTCCTGGACCAAATACCTGAAGATGTTCTGTATTCTCCAACATTTGAAAGTACATTTCCAACATCAAGTCCTAAGTGTGTTGCTTGTTTTGTAATCAAGTGCAAATGCAGTTAATCATCACTAACACTTCTTCCTTTGAATCTTGGATCCAAGAGATTTGCAGCAGCATGAATTGATTGACAACAAAATTCTTCCCATCTGTTAATAAAGTCTTTCACTTTTCTTTCTTCTGTACTTGTAAGCAGCACATAGATTCTCAAAAACAGTTGATTTTATCTGGGCCATGTGGTAAGGAATGTCTGACAAAAGTGCACTGTCTGATTCAGATGCAGTGACTGCTGAAGAAATTGGCTTTAGAATCTTCAGGGAGTTCTGCAGCTGAACTCAGAAGACATCCTCATTGAGGACAGTGTTCTTTACACTTTTGGGTACTTTAAGATCCTCTATTACTGTTTATTGAAGAGCTACTTTGTTTCTTAGTAAACTTTCAAATGAGATCACCACTCCACCCCATCTAATTTTTACTACAGAGTTTGAGAGTCACTATTTTATTCCTTGCATTCTTTTCTTCCTGCTACTTCTTAAAGACTACAGCTACAATATGAGTAGCTTTTACATGTTTTATAACTTCTTTTGCTCTTCTGTAGATCTTTTGCAGAGTGTCCAACTTCACGATGTCATTAAGAAGCAAATTTACCTCATGGGATGCACATTCTATTGTAGTAATATGTGGATATTTATCCATTATGATCTTCCATGCTTTTTTCATGTTACTTGCCTTGTCAGTCAGCAAAGCAAATACTTTACCACTCCCAATCTTCTGTAGGACTTCACATATTTTATTACTGATATACTCTGCAGTATGCCTGTTTTCTCCTGTTTCAATGCTTCTGTAAAAGACTGGTTGAGGTGTTGTTATCACAAAGTTCATGATTGCTTCTCCCCACACATTTGTCTATCCAGTAAGTACTGCAAGACATGGTGCTTCATTGATTCTTTCCTTGCACAGATTGCATTACGCGTTCATATTCTGATTTTAAAAGAGGCTTCCTCAAAGAGTATCTGGTGGGTAAACAGTATGATGGTCTTAGTAATTTAAAAGTTTCCTGCCAGTAGCATTTTCAGTTATTGACAACGACGTCCCAGAATATATTGGTCTTGCAAGAGCTTGGTCAGTTTTTTCCTTGATCTTCAGGTGTCATCTTGTCTACAAATGAGGCTATTTGGAGAGTCTTTTATATACAGGTGGTTGAAATATTTGGTTTCTTGAGGATGTTGGTTGGGCAACCCCTTGTGATGCTGATATTATAGAAGAAAAAGAAGCAGCAGCAGCAGTAGGAGGACTTCTGGACCAAGAACGTTGGAAATAGCTACTTGCATCATGATCTACCTTCATGTATACCCATGAAGGATTTTTTAATACCTGCAGGATGCTTCTTACATACAAGGATTTTTTTGGTCGCTGTAGTAGCATTTGGAAATGCATATTTCATTTGATAGTATTTGCAAATCACACATTTTTATCAGAATAACTTGCAGTGTGGAAATGCTTCCACATGCTAGAAGTTGGTTGTACCATTTTGCTGAGGAAGAAAAGAGAAAAATGTAATTTAGTGGCTAGCTTGCATATATAAACACCAAGCTACAGCATGTACAAATTTAGTAATGGATGGAGGAGAGGCCTCCTCAGAGTTAACTGTGAACAACTTCCCTGCCCTTCAGGCCTCACTTCACTGCTAAGGTTGAGTGATTTGTCATAAAACATCAGATTAGTAGGAATTCAATTATGAATTACATAGGTTATGAAAAAATATACTAATGCAACTAAAATATAGTTTAATATACTGAATGTAGAGCAGTTTAAGCTCTTACCTTTCAATAAAGAAGTGTACTTTTCTTTCAGCTCCTTTGTGCTGCTTCTGTACTTCTGTGGATCTCAAGGTCATAGGGCCAGGAGGAAGCAGGTTCTTTCCAACTCTAGAGCTGGCCAGCGTGAATCTGCTGTCCACCTCCCTTGCCTGAGGCTGTGGCTGTGGGGGCTGAGCCGAGCTGACCCGCGGGCATTGCTGAGGGTGGATGCGGAGGGGCCAGCTTAGGCTGGACCACAGTGGCAGGGCCCTTTCCAGCTGGCTGCGGCTCAGGCTGGAACTGTGGGAGCTGTGCAGCAGGATTGCTCCCAGATACCCACGCACAGGCCAGGAACTGCTGGCATGGAGCTGCAGTTGGCTGGTAAAGGCCTAGTGGGGCTGTCCTGGGGCAAGGCCTCTCCCAGTCAGCTGTGGCTCTGTGACAGCCTGGCAGAATGGCCTGGGCAGCGGCTGCCCGCCACAGGGGCTTATATGTCTGCAACCGCCACTGCACCCCCTGTCCTGTGCAACACCCTGTCATCTGCAGCCTCACCACAAACTGTATGCTGGCTGGGGTCAGCAGGGCTGTTCTGCCTCCCTGACCTCCAGTTTTCACTGCTACACCTGACCCTGCCACTCTGGGTGCCTGGGTGGGAAGCATGGTGCTCTGGCTCCAGGTCCCGGATACCTTCCATCTGCTCATTGTATCAGGCAGGCAGAGCAGCCCCTGCAGGTGGGTGGAGCAGGTGGAAGGCATCCGAGAACTGGAGCCAGAGCTCCATGTGCTGGGCAGAAGCTGCCAGGTTGAAGCTTCCACCCTAGAGCAGCGCAGCATGAGCAGGAGCTGCTGCTGGAGGTGAGGGGAGCAGAACAGCCCTGCTGGCCCCAGCCAGCACACAGCTTCTGGTGTAGCTGTTCCCCATGCTGCTCTGCTCCCCTTGCCTCCAGTGGTTCCTTTTGCTGTCACTCCTGCCCCTGCTGCACCTTGCCAGGTGGCAGGAGGTGGGGGGAAGCTTCAGTCTGGCAGCTTCTGCTAGCCTGAGCCATTGTAGGCATGTGCCTGCATTTCTAGAATCAAGTGAATATCTATTCACTTGCAAATCAATTCAGTCTACATAGGTTAGACTAACCTGCAAAGATTGAATCAATTCAGGCTTGGGCTTTTTGAACATCTGTCTCTAGCCATTGTTGCTCTTGGCATGTCTATGCTACTGTTTTAGATGTTGTCTGCACATAGCATGTGCTTGCTAGAATGGTAGTGAGATTGTGTAGACATGCACTGACTGTTCTCACTTAGCATCTGTGGGATGAGATTTTGGGGAAAACACTAAATATTGCACACCTCTTCATCAAATCATGAGATTTGGCAAAATGAAAGTTCTTCAATATATTCCCAGGTGATATCCTGGTCCAGTTGAAGTCAAGGAGAATTGTGCTGTTGATTTTGATGGAACCAAGCTTTCATCTAGAGATTATAAATTCATAAGAAACTATTGGGCATCCGTAGATGAAACGAGGGGCAGTGTGCACACGACACTTTAAAGCGGGTTAAATGCTTTTGCACCACTTTAATGGTGTTGGTGTTTGCATGTGTCAACAGTGTATTGTGTATTAATTCCAGCTACTGTAGCACATTCGGTGGTGTAATGTGCCTTAAATGACTTTGGGGCTCAGCAAACTAAAACACCTCTGAGGAGTTTTAGTTTACTGCCCTACAGCCGCAGCACAAAGCACTGGGCTCCGTGTGGCTCAGGGACTGCAGGCAGCCTGGCAGCAGCCCTGGAAGGCAGGCTCCATTGAAGAGAAAAAAGCAATGAGCCTGATCTTTTTCTTTTCCATCCCCACCCTGGAGTTTGCCTTTCTGTATGAGCTGTGTGGGGACCCAGTCTTTCCCTGTGTGGCTGTGGTGCCCCCTGCCCGGGATCACCTGAAATTGGTGCCTGCTTACAGGTGCTGCCTGGACAGCAGGAGCGCTGCTGC